CCTCCTACGCCAATGGCCGCGCCCATCTTTGTGTCCTGTACTGGTGACCCAGTTTCCGTGGGGCGGGGCGGGGGGCTGCCAATCAGAGGGCGTGACGTCACCGGCAGCCTATGGAGGCGTGGGCTGCTGGCAGGGCGGGGGGGGGCCACTTCCGCTGCTGCCTGGAGCAGCGGGCGCGGCTGTCAGGCCCTGCAGGCCGAGCCGGGTGGCGGTGCCTTCCTGACGTCCTTTGGTTTGCAGCGGCCACGAGCGGGCTAGCTCCGTGCTCCATGCGTGCATTTGCACTCAGCTGTGTGTGTATACACGTGTATTTACAGGTATTTGCATGTACTTCTTGCGTTTCAGGAAAATGTTTATTGGGGGCCTAAGCTGGGACACCAGCAAGAAAGACTTGACAGAGTATCTCTCTCGGTTTGGCGAGGTTGTGGATTGTACGATTAAAACAGATCCAGTCACTGGGAGGTCGAGGGGGTTTGGGTTCGTGCTCTTCAAGGATGCTGCCAGTGTGGAGAAGGTGGGTGGATTTCTTGTGGATTGATGGCACAAAGCCTGCCTATATCACTTAAGTGATCTGAGACTTTGATTCCTTGTGTACTTCTTAGGTGTTGGAACTAAAGGAACACAAACTGGATGGGAAGTTAATAGATCCTAAAAGGGCAAAAGCCCTAAAAGGGAAGGAGCCACCAAAAAAAGTATTTGTTGGTGGGCTGAGTCCAGATACATCTGAAGAACAGATTAAGGAGTACTTTGGCGCTTTTGGCGAGGTATAGTATATTGGCATATAAGAACAGCTCTGGTTTTCACATGCAGTGTTGCTTGTGTCTTAAGACAGAATTTGTGAGGAGAGAGCTGGCTCAGACTTACATAAAACTAAGGATTGTTGAAACTATGTGCGTGTTAATGATTCCATAGTGTGATGGGCTGATTTATAGCTGTCAGAAGCAGTTGGCATAAACATTGGACTGCTGAATGGTTCTGGTAGCATAAAAAGTTGCTTACAGATTTCATGCATTAGTGATGGGTACTTTTGATTTCAGATTGAAAACATTGAGCTTCCCATGGACACAAAGACGAATGAAAGGAGGGGCTTCTGTTTTATCACATACACAGATGAAGAGCCAGTAAAGAAATTGCTAGAAAGCAGATACCATCAGATTGGTTCAGGCAAGGTATGGTAGCTCTCCTTCTTAGCATGTGAAAAAGACCATGTCTGTCAGCTTCCCTGAAAGCAGTTCACAAAATGGTCTTGAAATTTTTGATGAGTTAAAGAACTTCTGTCTTCACAGTGTGAGATCAAAGTAGCACAGCCCAAAGAGGTATACAGGCAACAGCAGCAACAGCAGAAAGGAGGAAAAAGCAATGCAGCTGGTGGACGAGGAGGTGGAAGGGGACGTGGACGAGGTGAGCCTTTTGGATGTTGAAATTAATGTAAATGTTTAAGTATCTGTACCAAACACTAAGGTGTTTTAGATGTTCTAGGTTTTGGGCTGCCTGGAGATCTCATGTTTAAGTTGAATGTGGAAAGTAGCCTGTTAGCAAGCGGTATTTTGGTGGTTGTGATTGCTTGTGGAAGCTGAAGAATCTCTTCTTGGTCTGCTTGCATTCAAATAGTGAAGTGGCAGGCTGGATGTAGGGTGCTTTTGTATACCCGCAGTTGACAGCATAGCTAAACAGGTGGTGCGGTTACCCTTTTGTGTAAAGGGATATACTGTTAGTTGGCTCATGGGAAAGAAACCATGAGCTGTTTGCTAAAGAGGAAGGCAAGTCACTTTGCTACACCGTGCAAATAGATGACAAGCAGTCAACTGTTATGTTATAGGTTAATGCATCTCAGTCTTAAAAAGTGAAGCCATTCACAACCATCACAATGCAGTAAAGCTGATCCTGTGGTATAACTTAATGTTCAGGCAATTAATGATCTAAAATGGAAGTTGAAGGAAAAGAGCAGGAGCTGCTGTAGAGCATACCTACAGTGTTGTGGTGTTTTGTTTTTCCTGGCTGTTTTACGAGCAGGACTACTTGCTGTCTTTCTCTAATGTTGTTGTGGGTGATAAGATCTTAAGATGTATCTGTCATATCCAAATGAGATGCCTGAACTCTTTTAGAAAATTACTTTTCTTGGGTTCTGTGGAAGATAAGAGGATTCTTCCAGGTAATAGTTCTGGCATAGAAAGATTGCCATAGAAAGTTAGATGAAGTGGCATAGGAGAGGTATGAAATAGTAAGTTCTGTAACTTAGAAATGCTATACTTGGTTTCAGGTCAGGGACAAAACTGGAATCAAGGATTTAATAACTATTATGATCAAGGATATGGAAACTACAATAGTGCTTATAGTGATCAAAGCTACAGTGGCTATGGAGGATATGACTACTCTGGGTACAACTATCCCAATTATGGATATGGGCCGGGATACACAGATTACAGTGGTAAGTGGTTTTGATATCATTCCAGATAATAATAGCATGCATCTTTGAACAGGGGCCTCTTTTAGTAACTTGTTCTGTAACACCTTTTACTGCTTGCACATGGCTCTAAAGAGTAGCCCTGTTGGTGTACTGTACAGGAACAATCTCCTTTAGAGTGTTGGATGTTGACCTTAATGGTTCTGGATGGTTGTGTTTCCCCCCCACCCCCACCATGTTCTCTACAGGTCAACAAAGCACATATGGAAAGGCATCCCGTGGTGGCGGCAATCACCAAAACAACTACCAGCCGTATTAAAGCATTACCTAGTACTTGAGGAAACAGGTGTGTATTTGAGTGCAAGGTCTGCTCTGAGTATGTCTAATCTAATTTAAAGATCAATAGACAAATGAAGAGTAAAAACTTGTGTAGCATGACTTTTCCTTTAATTAAGCTTTTGTTAACTTAAAAAAAATACTTTTTTTTAAACCAGCTTTGCCTACAGTGTCTATAGATCTTTAACTTGTAAAAATGTGACTTTATCTTCTGTAGTACTTCAGAAAAACATAAGAGTTTTTCTGTTTTGCGTTGTGTACCAGGTGGTCTAGAGGAGTAATTAAACTTATTAGAAGTATTAACAGGTAAAGTACTGAAATGGGTACAACTTAAGGAAAACAAGAATGTTGTCTTCTAACTCTGACATTATACCTTGTTTGTACCCGCCAGCGGGAACTTCATTGCAGGCCGTGTGTCACCCTGACCACGTCTATCTCTGGGGTCGCACGTTGCAGGCAGAGCGCAAGGCATACACCAGAAAACGCTGTCCTGTGGTATGGTCTCTTCCAACTTCATGTACCAGCGTAAAGATTAAAGTGGAAAACTTCAGACTTTGGCTTCTTTTTTTAATCTTTTTGGAGATTAAGTGTCTTAACTTAAATGGTTTTTTACAGGAGTTAAAGTACATAAATGCCTTTACAGCTTAATCATTTGGTCTTCTGTTTAGTGTTGTATTTCAATTGTGGAACCTCATTTTAAGTGTGCATTCTTTAAGATTTAATGCTTGCTTTTTTTCTTTTTATAGCTAATAGTGAAATCTGCAAACCAAAACGAACTTTTAAATCTGCAAAAACATTAAAGATCATATGCAGGTGGACTTGTTTGAACTAAATTGACCTGACTTGTGTTTGCACAGCATTTAGATGGATAAACAAATAATCAGAAACTCTTTTGGCAGTGGTTTCAGTGGGGAAAAAACCTGATCCAGAGCCTGATTAATAGTCGAAACTGGATGTGTGTTTTTCTGGAACAGCTTCCTAAATGGGCTGCATGGCTATATTTGGGAAGATAAATTACTGATGGGTAACAAAACCTCTTGTGTTACCTTCATAAATATGCATATGATCTTTAACAGTGAAGAAAGGAATATATAGAAGACATTAAGCAGTTCATGAAAATGGACCTTTTAACAATTCTTGTAGCAACTTGCACAGATCTGACGTATGTTTTGTCTTGATTTTTAGGTAGAGATACTGCAACAAAGCCATCTTGCAGCGCATCGTGAGTGAATGGCGGGTGGTCTTCATGAGAGAAAATTACTATTTTGTAAAAGACTCTTAGTGTACGACACAACTGTGTCCAACTGTACATAGCGGCTGACTAGTTTCTTTTATGGTTTTTACTTTCTTTTTGCCATTCATCTTATGACACAATGTGGACTTGTGTTTATACAAACTTTATTTGTATAATTTCATGTTAAAGGATTCTCTAATAAATGCTTACCTTAAGTGATTGTGTAGTCTTGCTGTCTGAGGCTGTCAGCTTGCGGTGGTATAACTATGCTTTTGTACTTGGATAGAAAGGGCCGGTACCTTTCTGGAGATCATAAATGACTCAAGACACGGTTATTGTGTATACAGGTCAGTACAACCTACTCCTTTACCTGACCTCTTAAGAGAGAGCACCACAGTGCCTTGGGTATGTGCTTGCAGTGATGCTACGCTGTGTAAGATGGCAAAGCTGCTTCCTGACAGCTGCAGAAAAGAGCAGAGACTGGTCTGTGGCACAATACTGCCAATTTCATACATCTCAAGGGAGGGATCTAGAACTACAGCAGCACCTTTTTCATCCTGATAGCTCAGCACTGCTTGAGGGGTTGGAGGGTGAGATCTGTATCACCTTTCAAGGTTTTTCAGGCACTTAGGTTCTAGAATACTCAAGACTATAACTTTGTTATGTTCCTTGAGCAATTGCTTCCTGTCTATTCCAATTCCAAGCAGGAGATTACAAGTTCCTGAACACCTGATTTCTGTACAAGTCAGGATCTATTTCTTCAAGCTAAATCCTGTATTGGACTCTTAGCCGGATCAGAAAATGGGTTTACCATCTTACATATACTGGCAAACAACGTAACAAGCGTAAATGAATGAGTGCCAGGGAACAGAAGCTAGTTTGAACAGCAGGTTGTTTTCTGAATACCAGAATAGCTGGGATAGGTAAGTGAGCATATGTGTTCTGCCTGAAGCTGAAGGATTGCAGCAGTCCGGCTAAAGCTTTTTTTTTTTTTTTTTTTTCTTCAGCACAAGTATCTAGACATGCATCAAAAATAAACCTTATTTGTTAGGAGAGTAAGGTGAAATGTGAGTAGCTAATTCACAGGGTAGACTGGTCTTGCAAACTTCTAAAGGGAGTAGTCTGGCTCTAGAGGTTTCTCTCTAAAAGTTTCCAAACTGTGATTTCATTGTTCATTTCTCTCTCAGGCAGCTGAGTATATTTTATTTTCTTCTCCTGTCATACAGAAGAGCTACATACCATAACTGCTATGGGTTAAGCAGTTGCTAGATCTGGGAAGGTTTCCATCATTTTAACAATGAGGTTGGATGAGAGAAGACTCGCTGACATCACTGGCTACAAACTAAAGAAACGGCACATGGCACCTAGGAGAAGCCACCTGGGTACATGACTTCGTACTCCCTCCAAAGGGCAGCTGGGTGCAGAAGCTGTCCTTACCAGCAGCGCTTCCGGGTGGCTACAAGCACTACTTTCCTTTTGCCACTAGGAAATGGTTTTGCTGTTACACTTTTTTGTTTATATACAAAAAAACCCCACTTCGCTAAGACTCAAGTTTTACTTTGAGCTCTAGCAATTTATGTTTTAAATTTAAAAGACACTTGTTTATTTTTTGATAAAAGCTTAATTTTGGTGCCTTCAGGCACTGGACGCATCAGGGTTGTGAGGTGCCCAAGAGCTCAGAACAGGCCGGCCCTGCAGCCTCAGGTCCCCGGCAAGGCTCGGAGAGCTGCGTCGGGCAGGTGTCCGGCAGCAACCGGTTGGAGAGCAGCCTGCCCGGCCTCACGGCAAGCCGCTGCTTGCTCCGTGCTCTGCTCCGCAGCGGCCACCCGAAAAAAACCCACAGCGCTGCAGTTGGCGGCGGGCCGCCGGAGGAGCGGCGCGGCGCTCACGGACAACGGTCACCAACCGGCGGCTCCAACGACTCCGGGGCGCACCCCCTCCGCCGTCTCCCCGGGAGGCGGTGTCACGTGACCGCGCCCGCTGCGCTCCTTCCGTCCGCCATTTTAGGTTGGGTCGGTGGCGGCGCCATT